TCTCCCTCTCCCACTCCCCCTGCTTGTGTTCCCTCTCTCACTCTCTCTGTCAAATAATAAATAAATAAAAATCTTCAAAAAAAATAAATAAATAAAAAATAACAGTAGAAACCTCATGGAGAGGTTCCAAATCCATGGTGGCAGCAGCTGCCAGGCTTTGACGGATGGGAACCCTTTTCTCTGACCAGAGAAGCTGTGATCTCAACAATCTGAGGCAAATCCTACTGCTTTTTCCCCCTTCTTGCCCTCTTGCCACCTGACTCCAGCCACAGATAAAGTCATAGGAAGTGCAACCCAGAGCAGGGAAACTAAGTGCCAGCCTTCTGAATGGAGGGTGTGACAGGGAGCCTGAAAGTCAGACAGCATCAGGAAGATCATGAGGAGGAGCTCAAGAGAGTGATCCTATAGAACGTTTGTGAGCTCCTGGCTCACCTCTGAGCTGTGCAAGGGTAAATCTGACTCTAAAAGGCAAACCAAAGGTTTTGATAACAGATCTAGGGGATTAACTACCAGCCAGGTCCCAGACCAGCCACTGGGAAGTACACCCGCAGGAAAGATCTGAATAGCACTATAAAGACTCTGAAAACTGGAATGACATTTGAACTCAGGTGGGCTGGAACGGGGATGTAGCCTGAACCTATAATTAGGTCTGCTGTCTGCTAAAACAAAACAAAACAAAACTTCCCCATTCTCCCTGTAATTTAAACAACACCTAAGGTCTCATAACATAATATCCAAAATGTCGAGGATGTAATCCAAAATTACTTGGTATACAACCAACCAGGAAAAACTCAACTTGCAAAAGACAACCAATAGATACTAACCCCAAATGACAAAAGTGTTAGAATTATGTGGCAGACTTTAAAGCCACTATTACGTGGTTCAAGAATAAGGTTAAACAGATGGAAAGATAAAAGGGTCTCAGCAAAGAAATAAAAGATATAAAGATGAACCAAATGAGAACTTTAGAAATGAAAAATACAATCACCAAAATAAGAAATTCGCTGGATGGGTTCTCTAGCAGAATGGAGATGACAGAAGAGTCAGTGAACTTGATGACAGATCAATAGAAATTATCTGATTTGAACAGAGAGGGAAAACAGATTAAAAGAGAATTGCAGGACAATATCAAAAGGTCTAACATTTATGTCACCAGAGTCCCAGGAGAGGTGTGAGAGTGTGGAGCAGAAAATATATTTGAAAAAATAATGGCTGAAAATGTCCCAGATTTGGTGAAAGACAAGATTCAGGAAGCTCAGCAAACCCCAAACAAAAGAACCTCAAAGAAATCCACACTCAGACACATCATAGTCAAACAGGAAAAAACCAAAGATGAAGTGAAAATCTTGAGATCAGCCAGAGGAAAAGTCACATCATCCTAAGGAAAGGAACGACAAGCTGAACCACTAGATTTCTTATCGGCAATCAGGAAGGCCAGAGGAAAGTGGCACAACATTCTTAAAAGGGCTAAAAGGAAACACCTGTTGACCCAGAATTCTATATCCAGCAAAAACATCCTTCAAGAATGAAGATAAAACATGAACATTCTCAGATGAAGGAAAAATTAAGAGAAGAACTTGTTGCACCTGCTCTAAAAGAAATGCTCAATACAGGGAGTTCCTCAAACAGAGGAACTGATAGGAGAGAAAGCTGTTACCATTGCAACAGCAATGGTAAATATCTAAGTAAATAAAACGAATTATCAGCTCATCAGTTCTTTAAACAAGTATAACAACTGAAAGCAAAAATTAAAAAACTCTTATGAGGTTTTTAGTGTGTGTGCACGTAATACATAAGGCGACATTATAAAGCCAGTAGAGTGAAGGGACCTAGAGAGAGGTAAAGATTCCACATTCCTCTTAGAATGGTACAATATCAATTCTAAGTAAACTGTGAAAAACTAAACATGTATATTGTAGAGCAATCATTAAAAAAATAGAGTTAAAAATGTAATAGATAAATTAAAAATAGTATACTGGTAATTATTCAAGTAATACAAAACAAAGTAAGAAAGGAGAAAGAGAGCAACAAAAAAAGAGTGGGAACAGACAGGAAACAAAACTGTAGACCTAAATCCAAATATATCAACAAATTACATTGAATGCTAATGGCTAAAACACACAAAGTAAAACATACAGATTATCTAAATGTATTATTAAAAAAGGACACACAATGACATACTTTTTATCAAAAATCCACTTTAAACACAATGAAATAAATAGGCTAAAAGTAAAAAGATGAAAAAATACATACTGTGCAAATTGCCAGAAATAAAGAGTAATATTACCTAATGATAAAAGGTTTGATTCAGCAAAAAGATAAAACAATACTAAATGTGTATGCACCAAACAAGAGTTTCAAAATACACAAAGCAAGCACTTTGGTATAAAGTTTGGCAGTTTCTTACAAAGTTAAACCTACATGTATATATTACCCAGCAATCCCACTATTGGGTATTTACCCTAGAGAAATGAAAACTTATATTCACACAAAACTCTGCACATGAATGTCATTAGCAGCTTTATTTATGAGAGCCAAAAGCCGGAAACAACCATACGTCCTTTAAAGGGTGAATGACCAACAAACTGTGGCTCACCCACACAACAAAATATTATTTAGCAATAAAAAGGAATGAACTATTGATAATACATTACTGATGAATCTCACAGGTTTGATACTGACTGGAAGAACCCAGTCTCAAAAAGTTATATATGTATATTATCTGATTCCATTTATATATATTTTGGAAAGAACAAAACTATAGAGACAAAGAATAAATCAATGATTGGTAGGCCTTTGCAGGAGGCAAGGGTATGAGAGCAGGAGGGAGTTTTTGGGGGTGATAGTACCATCTTGCATCCTCATTGTGGTGGTGGTTCCACAAATCTTTTTTTTTTTTTTTTTTGAGATTTTTATTTATTTATTTGACAGAGAGAGAGAGCACAGAAGCAGGGGGAGCGGCAGGCAAAGGGAGAGGGAGAAGCAGGCTCCCCGCTGAGCAGAGAGCTCAATGCGGGGCTCAATCCCAGGACCCTGGGATCATGACCTGAGCCAAAGGCAGACGCTTTACCGACTGAGCCACCCAGGCGCCCCTCCACAAATCTATGTATGTATAAAAACTCACTGAACTATACCTTTTAATGCATGTTCATTTAAAAATGAGGCTATTATAAATAAAACTAACTTTTCATTAAATTCAAGTTTTAACTATTAAAGCAGTAATTCTTTAAAAACACAGTGTATATTTTGTTTATATTCTCCACAAAAGAAAACACATTGAATTTTATTTCAATGGTTGTTGCTAAGTAAAAGCCATTCCTGGCAGAGAAGTTTATAATCTTTCCTCATGATCAAACATATGATTGAAACTCTTGTAATACAGAGCAGGTGTTGGTAACTACAGCCTATGGGCGAAATCCAACCCACTGTCTGCTTTGTAAATAAAATTTTATTGGAACATAGATGAACCCAATTTTTTTCATATTGCCTATGATTTCTTTCACATTCAACAGCAGAGTTGAGTGGTTGTGACAGACACTATATGGCCCACAAAGCCTAATATATTTAATATCTGGCCCTTCACAGAAAGTTTGTGGACCCCTCCTATCAAGTGATGACAAAGCACCATCATAGAGAAGGACAAATGCCATAGTCAGCCTGCAAAGAGAACCTGGGAGCCCCAGATACCTTATTTGAGAGTGATTCCGTCACATGCTCTTCCTCTTTGATTACTAATGGACTGGACTCTTGTTTAGGTGGACCAACTTTTGATCTAGCCAAACTTAAAAATTCACTAATGGAATCTTCTTTCTTTTCTTGTTTAGATGTATCCCATCTGGATGGCTTTCTTGATTCTGAAAGGTAGGACACAGACATAATATCAGAACTGGCAAGCAAAAGGCAAGCTCTCCACTATGGCTCTTTAATTCATTCCAGAACATCAGCAAACCTACTATGGGCCAGGCACGATGTAAGGTGTTGGGAATGTGGCAGATGCTGAGGCAGAGTCCCGACCCCAAACAGTAGACATCTGGACTCTTACAACATGAGCTAATGTATTCACATGAACAAGTCTCTTAATGGAGGGAGAGCTTGCACTGTGTGTACCCTTAAGACTTTATTCTGGGGGCGCCTGGGTGGCTCAGTTGGTTAAGCCACTGCCTTCGGCTCAGGTCATGATCCTGGAGTCCCCGGATCGAGTCCCACATCGGGCTCCCTGCTTAGCAGGGAGCCTGCTTCTCCCTCTGACCCTCTCCCCTCTCATGCTCTCTCTCTCTATGTCATTCTCTCTCTCAAATAAATAAATAAAATCTTTAAAAAAAAAAAAAAAGACTTTATTTCTGTTTTCCCCATGGGTTAGGGGTTGAGACCATGGTCAGCACATGGACCCGAGGAAGCCCCACTCACTGTCGGGACCTTGGTGCTGTGGTACTTTTTCACTCGATGCTTGAGTTGGAGGCAAGGATGCTGTCTCTGGGAGCGTCAGAAAGTTGAAGACTGAGTATTTGTCACGTTTTACTCTTGGTAAGCCAACCAAAGTTGAACTGTGGGTTGAAAAGAAAACATATATGTGTAATTTTAATAATTCGTGTTATTAGATAACATCTCGTGTTTTTCACCACTAGCTCTTCTACTTGCTAAGAGGTCCCTGAGGGTAATTTTGCTTCTCAAAGCAGTTTAAGAATTTGGAATGGCTGACTTTAGAGCCCATGAGGTTTTTCCTATCATAGTTAAGATCTAGAATTTAAATTTGAAAATGTATTTCTAGGGTGCCTGGGTGGCTCAGTCAGTTAGGTGTCCGACTCTTGATCTCAGTTCAGTTCTTGATCTCAGGGCTGTGAGTTCAAGCCCCATGTTAGGCTCCGTGGAGCCTACTTAAAAAG